GATGCGGGTCCTCCTCTCCTGTACTTCCTTCTCAGACATGACCACTAAAAGAACACAAAAATATGTATAGAAATCTGATTAAAACACTTCTGACAGTTAAAAAAATCATGTTTTACATCTGATACGTTTAAATAACTCCTGTAGGACTGTATTTTGTTGAAATAAAAAAGTTTAAAAGCAAATAAAGATACAATATAAATACTAGTACCATATTAATATGCCCATTCAATCAAATATGATAATCCCTCCAGCATTTACATTTAAGCTCCTCTAATCACATGCTACCAATACAAAAACACAAAATCATTCTTTGTGTCTGGATGTTACTTACTCTCTTGGCGCATGCCTATGGCCTGGCATTTACGGAAGCGGCAGGCTTGACACGACCGTCGGTTGTTTTTGGTTATGCTGCATTTGTTCTGGAACCTACAGCGGAGCTGCGTTGACCTCTTTATGGCACGTCTGAATTGATTTTAAAATCCACTCAGTAATAACCTCAAAAACCAATCTGAAGTTCAAAATCACATGCATTAAAACACACATAATGTATTAACGTATGACATTGTATGTGACGACAAGGTACCAACCAGGAACTTTACAACCTTTGATTGTTATTAGTTCTCAACTACTGTGGGTGTGTAACTGTTATCTGGGTGAAAAGCTCCTTCTTGAATAAGTTGTTAGAAATTTAATTCAGTTGCATAAATAAGGGAAGTGCTACAGCTGCATGTGTGAGTGACATGATTGAAACAACGTCACCTGAAGAAGCCCTTGCAGCCTTCACATGTCAAAGCATTAAAGTGGTAACCCTTGGCCAGATCTCCACACACCCCGCAGGCTCTGGGCTCCTCATCTTCTGTTGTCTCCCCTTCCTGGCTCCCTTCCTGGCTCCCTTCCTCTTCATTGTACCTTGTGAGCGCTTCTCGGATGCTCTGTACTCCTGTGGCCTCATTCATTCTCACCTATGAAGGATACATACATCATTCTGGCATCTTTAACTCATATTGATTCATTTCAATAGCAACAATTTTAAACAAAAGCACAAACAGTACTGTGAGATCGAGCTCATAGTCTGTCCACATAAAATAATGGTCTTAGTTTGTATATATATCCAAGGATAAGGCCAGAGGAGGGAGAAGTACTCAGAACTTTATTTGTGTAAAAGTGGAAGTACCAAAGCAACATTTACAAGTAAAAGTACTCATTATGCAGATTGATCCATTTCAGAATAATATATGATGTGTTTTTATTTTGATTATTGATGCATTAATGTGTTACAAAGCTGGTAGAGGTGCAGCTAGTTTGAATGACTTGGTATACTGCAGGGTAGATTGTGAATGTAATCCAGGTGTAACTAAATCATTCTTTAAGTGTTGTTTATATTTCACCTTATTAATACAAATCTGTAAAGGTGTTAAATAAATGTGTAAACTTACACGATTTACCTCTGAATTGTAGTAGAGTAGAAGTACAAAGTACACGTATTTAAGTCTAATCAAAGCCATGTATTCCTATTGTTTGAGCACAATCAATAGTATTAAAGAGCACCATGGTCAATGGGTTTAATAAGGTTTTGATTAATAACCTTTAATACATGTAATATTGTTTCAAATCTTCAAGCCAATGAATGCAACTGAAGTGAAACAGACCTGAAGAAAGTGTTAATCTCAAATACATTGTTTTCCAGGATATAGTATCCTCTTTACTGAACATCGTTTATGACAATATATTAAAACCAGTGGCCTAATGTGTATGTTTGTACTGTATGCCTATGTCTAAATCCAGTGTGTTGTGTCTATAAACTGCACAACCTGAACCATTACTTTCGCTTACATGGCTGTGTGACAACGATGTCCTGGAGGAAACATGTATCGATTACAAATGAATAGCATATAAAAACGTGTTTTGTTAGGGCGAAACAACTCTATCGCCATTTATTTGACTTAATGTTTAACAACAACTGGAGTGATACTTAAAATTCCTATGTTTAATGAGTCATGAAAGAAACTCTTCGTCAGCCTTTAGAGACTTTGAAAGAGACCTAGCCTCTACTGCCCGGTTAAAGGTCGAGTTTTAATCAAATAGTAATCCAGACTGTTCCACTCACTTGCTCTGTGATTCCAGATGCCAAACAGCTGTATGTGGTCTCCGGGGGTTCAGCCTTGCAGCGTTTAATCCAAGAGCATTATCCTACAGTGAATTGAACAGGTGAGCGAGGATCACACAGCTCTTCCTGCTGGCCGTGTTGTCTGACGCTTGGTGTCGGGCTCGTCTCGACAAGTCTACTGGCTGCAGCACACAGGACGGGCCCGGCGCCAATGTGGGGAAAGGTGAGCTGGGGGGTCATTCACGTCCCTCGAAGTTCCCACATTCATTTTCAAGCAAATACAGTGACTACAGTCGATGTAATTACTGCGTTTAGAGTATTCTGTAACGTTTCACTGACCTGTTGTGAGCAGAAGGTTTACACCGTTTTTGGTATTTTGTCCTGCAGTAATGAGGCAGAACGGTTTATCGTTTGCAAAAACCATAAAAACCTATTAAAAACACCCGCGTCTATTCGTGTAATTACGGTACGGGTGCTGGGCGTGGTCAGAGAGGACGAGGTACATGTACTTAAAGGTGGGGTAGGTAATTTTGGAGAAACCAGCTCGAGTGCGCTAGAATTTGAAAATACACAGGGCCCTTCTCACTTCTCTTATTTTTTATTTCCTCGCTCCTCGGTCTCACCGGAAGTTGATTTGTCTGCGCCATATTGAGTAGCGTCCCAATGGCCTTATTTTTGCCGGAGGACCGAGCAGCGAGGAGCGAGGAGCGATAATGGAGGAGCTATAACCGAGGAACCACCAGACCATCCTTCGATGAAATCCTCAGACACTCGCCCCGCCCCCTTACTGTGTATCGCTCACTGATTGGACGATGCAGTGCATGCACTGATCTGATGCTTCTTGACATGAGAGCAGTTTCCCAGCGGAGTGAAGAAAATACATGAACCTCACGAGAGTCACTCCTCAGTTTATACCGTGTTTTGTTTCAATTCATGTATCATTTAGTTACAAATATGTGATATATCTGAACAACAAAGTGGTCAAAAATCTTTTTATTCATTTTTTGGAAACATTTTCATGATCGCTTTTTTCGTTTTACATTTTCATTTATTGTCATTTCCATTCAGTCAGTCATTAAGTGCTATTTAAAATGTTAATTTGCTACATATCCACACAAACAAACAAAGTGTGCAATCCAATGAATGTTAATCTAACTGGGTTTTGATAGATAACATATCTCTTTTTCTTCTTTGAATTATTTAATTTATTTTGTGCACTCTAATCAATCATTTAGTTACAAATATCCAACTAATGTTCGTTTATACATTTTAAGAATGGCGTTTATCTTTTTGAGAATTAGTTCTTATTTTATTTTAGTTATTTGGGTCTACAACAGATGATACAAATGTTTGTGTCAGTAAATGTGTACTAACCAGGGGCTGTTCTATGGGGGGGGGGGGTAGGGGGGGCAGTGCCCCCCTAACAATGAACATTTATTTTTATTTTTTTAAATGTATATTTTCTGGTACTCGGTTTGCCAAAAACCGCAGGATTTTGTTTCTGTAATGTGAGATTGTGCAGACACCCTTATGTAAAGTAGAGATGTAACTGTTCATTGCCTTTATTTTTATATAAATATGGTGTTAGTGCAAACATTGCACTATAACTTAAGCTGAAGCTAACAGTAATAACTACAAGATCTATCTGAAATAAATAAGTGTACTGAAACAAATACCAATAACTGTATTGCATTGTTTTCTTATGCACAATTACTTCATACTGTCTAGTTCTCTTTTTCTTCCTGCATTTATTGTGCCCCCCTCAGAAAATAACTGGCCCCCCAGTGGCCCCCCCAGTCAAATTGGTCTAGAACCGCCACTGGTACTAACAGAGGCGGGGGTGTGTGTGGAAATAACGGGGACAGAGCTGGCTGCTGTCAGACGATCTGCTGTGCAGCGTCATCACAAACGGACGTCGCTTCACGTGACACTCCGGAGGAAAGGACGTCCCATTGCTCTTAAAACTAATTTCCCTGCTTCTCGTGGTTTCCTTGCATCTCTCCATGCTTCCCTGGTGGGAGGGACTAGTCGCAGGGAAACGACGCAAGTGAGGGACGCAAGGAATCCATTTAACCGAAGTGAGAAGGGCACTAAGTCTCAAGGATAGGAGTCGAGGAGGGGAGTTAGAGAAATGAGAAAGGGCCATCGTGTACCGACACCGGCCCGGCTAAAATAACTGGATGGCCTACCTGCCTGTCAGCCTTCCATCTGTGCACAAACTTATCTCGTGCCATTGGTCATGTGCGTGTTCGTGTGTGTTGGAGGAGGGGCTCTGTAAGGAAGTGGCAGATTTTTTCCGGCTGTGTATTTTCAAATTCTAGCGTACTCGAGCTGGTTTCTCCAAAATGACCTACTCCACCTTCAAATAAGACTTAGTTACACCTGGAGTAAATTCACAAGCTACCCTGCAGTATACAAAGTCATTAAAACTAGCTGCACCTTTACCAGCTTTGATAACACAGTAATGCATCAATAATTATAATCAAAACATTTGATTTGGTGAATAGAACAAATGTTACTTCAGTAAGTGCTAACAAAATCACTTCCTAAAATAATGGTCTCCTGTTGGTTTAATTACACGGATAGGTTTGTAAAAATATGCCCTTGCTCAAATTTGGTGCTTATTGTTTATGGAAAATATTCAATAACTTCCCCGTCAAACTTTTCAATTCTAGAAAAGTCACGTCACACATTTTTGGTCACCAGCTATAAAACTTTTAACAGTACCTGCCTTAGTCTCTGGCCCATATCAACCCCTTAATCCTCCATACCGCCACAGCTGTCTCCAGATGTAATTGGAGTGAGTGTTAGAAAAGGTGGAAAGCTGTACATTCTAGATAAAATATGTAAGGATCAATAATTGAAGGACTATAATCATCCCATAAATCCTCAATGATTTTTTGTAATCTTTAATAATATGAATCAACAACACATTTAGACACAAGACTGCATCTCAGAACACTTTGTATATGCTTAGTCATCTTTACTCAGTTTGAAAGTGGTGCTAGTCTGTCTGCTTCCCCTTCTCCTGCTCTGCTGGGCCGAGCACCTCCTCGAGGACTCGGTTGGAGGCTCTTTCAGAGGGACAGCTGGACTGAGAAGCCCCCAAAGTAATGGGAAGGATCCCAGAATGCTCTGCAGTCCCCTGAATGATGCTCCGAGTGGCCTGCAAGTGTCTATGCTGCCTTTGGTGCACTGAGAGAGAGAAATCACAAAGTCAGATCAGCGAGTAAAGCATCTGTATCATTCATTTGTCATTTTGACTGTTTATGTTTTAAAAAGTAAATTATTTCATAGAGATATTCTTTGACAACAATGTGCTAATACAGTGAAAACAGAAAATTATCCCAAACCTCTCTGTCTGACGATGATCTTCTCCACCTCTGGGATAAGGAAACTGTACACCAACTCTGATACAATCTCCTCCGACTGAAGATTGTTCCGGCTACCCACACATCATTTATTTTGTTAATTATCATTGCGTTTACATGTTTCAACACAAAACAGGAGCAGATATGCTGATGTATTTCCTACCTTTCATCCATGGCATAAGCGATGTCGTTGATCTCCTTTGCTCTCCTCCGGATCTCCTCCCTGGCCTGCTCATCAGCTGTCTGCTCCAAGGTCCCCAGGATGATGTCCTCCAAATATAAATCCACAGTTTCCTGGTGTACCTGAACCACCTGTCACAGTGTAAAGGGCAAGACATGCTAAGCATTAAAACATGTGCGCCACTCACACATACAAACACATACCGTACTATTCTAACTAATTTATTTTGCACACGTAAAAATGGCCCGTGTACGCACTTGTCGGAAAATCTCATCTTCTTCTCTGCGTCTGCGCTCCTCCACCTGTCTCCTCCCGCTCTCCTCAGCCTCTCGCAGGCGACGGTCTCTCTCAGCCAGGAGTGTAAAAGCATGTATCCTGCGCTCTTCCTGGAGATGAATCAGCTCCTTGGACAAGGTGTCGAATATATGTTCAAGCTCTGCACCTACCACTCTGGCCTGGGACGCCTCCTCTTGAGAGCTCTAGGAGGGGGGGAGAGAGGGGGGATATGAGATTGTTTGGAGTTTGTAAAACATGTCAATGTTTTCTGTGTTTTACCTCATGTCTATGTTTGTCTCTCTGTTTTTTAAGGCTCATTACGAGCCCCTTGTCAGCTTTCTGTAGCTCTTGCTCCTCCCTCTGGAGTGCATGGACGGTCCTCAGTTCATGGATGAGGTCCAGATGGTTCTCCTTGCCCTCAAACATCTGTAAAAACACACAGATAGGAAGGAATATGAGTCTTCAAAACATGCCTATACAGTATGCACTTCAGAAAAAAAAGTCAGGTTATTACCTCGTATTGGATACTTCTTCCTCTAAGAAGCTTTTGCAAGTGGACGACCGCAAGCTCTCGCTCCTCATCACCCTAATGAAAACCATATCAATTCATTAACATAACAACATAAAACATGTTTAGTGAGCAAGGTCAATTAGAATCTGGGACGTCAGCTGACCTCTGGTGGCTCCTCCACTCTGGGAGTGACAGGACGAACAACAGGCTTCTCCGTCTTCAGAAGGAATCTTGAAGACTTCTCCTGCTCACACTCCTCTTGTTCACGCCCCTCTTTGAGGGCCTACGGAGCCACAATGAATAATGAATGTGTTTGTAGAACTGAGAAGATATAGGATGAAGTTCTGTCTGCTTTACCTTGTATTTCCTCATCACGTCAACCCCTCTGCACACTGGGGGCTTGATCATACTCTTAAGGATGCTGGCTTTGGGATTTTTTTTTTTTTTCCAGTGGCTTGAGTACAGAGGCCGATATTCCTGCCTCTAGCTCCACCAAACCTATGATTGACAACAAGTTGAAAGACATACTATTCTCTCTGAAATGCTAGTATGGAAATTATCTACTCAATTAGTTTAAACACATTTCGTTTCAGACCTTCATATGTGTCTAAGTAGTGGCTTTTAAATTCCTTGTTTCGGGTGATCCTGTTGGAGAACTTATCACTTCGGCTCTGTGGGGAAACTGCCTGAGAATCTTTCAGTTCTTTGATAACACCAAGGCGATCTAGCTTCCACTCCATATTTCGCCCCTTAGCGTCCAGTTTTCTCAGTTCTACAGACAAATAAACAAAGAGACAGAAGAGAAAGAATGGAAGGAAGCTTCACATATTACACTTATGGACTGGATATTGTGTCAGAGAGGCAGCTGTTGTCTTACCCCTCATGTAGTCATTCTGAATCTTGTCCAGCTTGGACTCTTTGTCTTTTTGGTTCTTAGAATATATCTGGTTCAGTCTGTCATTTGTGACTTCTTTCTGGGCCTCATCTCTTTGTCTTAGGAGGTCCTTCAGGACAAAAAGACGAGTCTCCTGCAACCTGGTCCCCCCCACAGAAACAGAGAGCATTACAGAAGGGCGGGTTTTGCAAAGCATACACAGCAGAAGCATCAAGATTGTTTAATCAAGTTCTTTGTTAGACATATATTAACCCCAGATGTGTATGTCTGTTAAAAAAAACTGCCTTCACAATATAAGAACTTATTCAAGCCCAATGTCTCCAATGGTAGTATAGAAGAAAACAGCAGTTCACTCAATTCACACAGTTGGATGAAAACATTTTAAATAATAGCAGTTGAGTTGCAGTGTCACTTACTTCTGGATTTCTCCCTCTCTGAAAGCCCACTCGTTGACCTCCATCTCCTCCATCATTCGTCTCCTTTTGTCCAGCTGACTAAGGTCATTCAATGGAGGAAGAGTGGCCTCCCAAGCTCTTTTGGCCCGTGCCCGCTCTATCATTTCCACTTCTGCCAGGCCTACAGGCAGACCACAACCTGAGGGAAAATGTCATGGAGGAGTGTTTAAAGTTGAACTACGGCCCGGGGGCCAAATGCGGCCCTCGGACCATTTTGAATCGGCCCTCAGCAAATTCAAAAAGTATAATGGAATATGGCCCACAAATGAAACTTGTGCTTGTCTTATTTTGTACTTCTTAAATGTAAAAATATATTACACAGTAGTATTCATGTGTTAATACGACCACTTTTCAAATAAATTCAGACAATTAAAGTTGAAAACATTTTCTACATTTTCTACATATTGATAAGAAAAAAGCCCAATGACTTGTTTACAGAACAAGCTTGAAATACACCCTTACTATTTCTCCTTATTATAATCAATCTGAGGCTTCTGTTTTAAGGAATGAGCTGCCAACACTCCCAAGTATCATTTACCTACATTTGATTGATTTTGCTAACTTATAACTGAACTTATGAGGCAATTTATCTCTAGTGAGTGGCCCAGCCCTTCGTATCTTTTTCTGTATGTGGCCCTCGGTGAAAAAAGTTTGGACACCCCTTGTTTAAACGCAATATGCTGATTATGATTGGCATTGGTAGTTATTCGACGCTAAATGTACAGTTAGACTATTTAGCCTAGTGCAACAGTTGGGCGGCTTGACATGTGGTTTAAACAAAGGTAATATACATTATATTCTATAACTGGTAAAGATTTGAACAGTTGATCATTTACCCCAAGTCAAAGCTGCCAGCCGCAGGAGCTCTGAGGGAGAGGTCCCGGGTTGTACCACATACTCAGAGCTGTACGGGTCCGTCTGGGTTTCACTTTCTCTGTAGTCGGTCTGGACCCCCACGGTGAAATGGGTGGGCTGTTTCTCAGCATTCTTTCCACCAGAGGATGCAAACTGTTCTCTGATGAGACATAACAGAGGATGTACCCTCTACCAACAAAAAAGCAATACAGAAATGTCTGGAAAATAAAGACGTGTAAACTGGCCAACATACTTCGGCAACGCAAAAATAACATCCGGGGGAACGTGCTGTGCGAAGGGAATCAGAGGGCTAGAGGAAACAGAATGGAACACCACGTCAGAGTCAATATTTAATGCGGAAACTGTGGCTGCATGACAGTTATCTTTAGTACACTTTTGATATGATTGTATTGCACCCTATTGACAGTTTCGGAGTGTATGCTGGTTAATCAAACCGTTTAAAGTATTTCCAGCTATCAGCTCCGGTCACACGGCACTCCGCAGTGGGAATAATCCTGTCAAGAAGATAATGCCAAAGGACACAGTTTTTATTTGTTACAAGTGACAGAAATTAACCTTAAATACAATTTAGTATCTGCTGCTGCTCATTAAAATGGTGTCTGTTGGTGGTACCCAGCCAGCTGCTGCAGAGCCCCTTTACGCTGATCAGTGTGGCCCCTCCAGCGGCGATCAATAGAGGTCGGTACCGGGTCTGTAGGGTCCAGGTGAACAGTGAACCGTGGGTGGTGGGAAAGGTTACTGAACATGGACGCATACTCAGGCACTAATCTCTAATGGAGACGGAGAGAAATGCTGTCAATGAGTCAATTCCACATTCATTAGGTTTTTCTCTTCATTTGTGTCATCAGAAACAAGTCAAAAGAATACTGGTGATGAGTTATGGTTTAGAAAGAGTTAAACACAAAGTGGGTCAATCATTCCTTTTTTCTGAGTTAACGTCAGTGTTTATAGTGTGAGATAACAAATATTAACTAATTCATTTAAAACTACAATATAACACACTTATAACTATAGTCTTATCTAATTTTTTTCAGCCCAAAAAAATGGTCAACACACTAATCTGGAAATCAAATCCTGGGTAAAGTTTCTAGATGGGCTTTGTTTACAACCTAAGATAGCACATTTTATATCAAACGTGTGTCTGAAACGGTTCCTTCTTTTGATTAATATGCAACACAAAACTATCACTGTTGGAAAAAGTACTCAGATCCTCTACTTAAGTAAAAGTACAAATATTGTGGTCTTAAAATACTCCACTTCAAGTAAAAGTTGTGATTTCTAAATTCTACTTAAATAAAAGTACCAAAGTATTAGCATCAAAATGTAGGCTACTTAAAGTACAACAACTACTCATTCTGCACAATGACCCATTCCAGTATAACATAGTACAGAAGTATTATCAGCTTAATATAAAGCAAGTACAAAAAAGTACAATAGATATTTTTACAGTATTATATTATTATGGTTATTGTATTATCCTGTTTTTATACATGTAAGAGCATTTAATTTAAATGAATAACATTAATTAATTACATTTATTGTAGTTTCTCTGTGTGGACCAAATTTAGATACATTAAATACTGTGAAGATTAGTTGTACAGTACTGCATTATACCATATCAGCATATCATGTGTTTAGTAGAAAGTAAAATATTGGCTTTCAAAATGTATTGGTGTAGAAGTATAAAGTAGCAGAAAATGGAAATACTCAAGAATGTAGAAAGTACAATACTTGAGTAAATGTACTTAGTTACTTTCCACCACTGAAATCTAACCACACAAAACACAATATGATGATAACAGTTGAACCCAATATACGTGTGCAGGATTGACTGACTGTCTCAGAACTTGTACTAATTATGACAAATAGTCAGTTAGCGTTATTTGATGACATTTCTTATATTAATTGTTGGCAACACAAACAATGCATGACAAATGAATCGACTTAACTTACGACTCGATCGTTAGACGCATATGCCTTCAGGTTAGACCTGGCATGGTCTACCTCCGATGACACTGTGTAAACTGGATCTGTTGAGTAAACGTTAGTTAATTCCAAGCGAATGAGCTAATGCTAACCTACTTAGCACGTTTACAAATGCGTTTAGCTCAGGTCAGATGGCGTCCACTTTAGTTTACTTACCATACAAGTGGTCATACTCCCGCTGCCGCCGAGCAACTTTATTAGCGTCATTTGTCTTCGTAATTGTGCGTGTGACAGATACGCTCATGTTCTTATTTAAACAAAATAAACGTGTTTTGAGGTTGAGTTTCCCCCAGAAAGCGACATCAAAGAACTCTGCGTATTGTCGCCATGGAGACCGTAAACATAGCTTTTGAGAGTGGGAGGGGCCGAGGGGGGATGTCATGTTTTGTTTAGCGTCGTGGTCCAGTCATAGCATTGACAATAGGCTGGTGTTTTGGCAGGTGTTTTAGTATGTTGTAATTTGAACGTGAAATGTGCAAGTCTATAGGCCTATGTACCAAACACGATTTTCACGGATCTCTACAGTAACAACCCAACCGAAACGGCAAGCATACACGTAATCTGTCTACCTTCCTGATAAATATTATATTTCCAACTGCAACGGCGACTGAGGTTAATGGTTAATGTAGTTTTAACATTTCCCGTACCAAACCGTGTACCAAACAGGCGAAATACAAAAACATGATTTATCAGCAAGGATATTCGTAGCTTACTAATGACATTACCACAGCACATCGTTGTACAATGTACGTTGTTGTGTTTGAATCATAAGGAAATAAACCCTTTCAAATGAGAATTACAGAGTGAAAAAATGTACTTCCTGAAACAGTGGTTCTCCCCATGGATGGTTCCAACAGGTTCCAACCCTTCGACCATGTTCCACTCCCTTTGCCACTTAACTATTTATTTTAAATTAAGATGGGTTTACATATTAAACTTATTATTATATTTGATTAAAGTGGAACTCTAACCCTTGTGCAATAAATATAAAATGTTATTTCTTTCATTATATATTTCTACAGCCTACTAGCCGAGAGTCACAACATTTTATTAGCTAGTGCCTCAAAAATAGTTTTTGCAGTTAGAATGTTGTATAGAATAAAGTGTTACTTTGTTTTTATGAGAGCAAACAATACTTTTATTGAAGTGTGTCTAATAATCAGGGGTTTAACATTTCAAACATTAATTAAAGTCCCTTCTTACTATTTAGATATTATTAATTTCCAGAATACATTTGCTTTGTTCCACTTTATACATCAAGTTTTTTCTTGACCCTTCACATCATTTTAGGTTTCCAAAGAGGTTGATTTAGACATCAACAGGAAACTGTGTGTTATCAGAGAGAAGCAGTCCACACACAAAAAAACACACACACACACACACACACACACACACACACACACACACACACACACACACACACACACACACACATATATATATTTTAGGAATAATGCTGACCAAAGCAACATTACATTAGCCAGTGAGGAAGTTTTGCAATTCTCTGGAAAATGCCAGTTTATGTTTGCCAGCTCACAATCAGCTGAACTTCTGTTATTTGTGTTGAATAAACAGGGTCTAATAATAGATTTTTAAAAGAAGAACTGCCTTGTGCCTGTATAAAACATATTACTGAAAAGTTTACCTACTCACATAAGTGTTATTTTAATTTTTTTACATCAGAGAGTTTAGCCATAACATGTAAAGTACCTTTCTATTTGTGTAATACGTGTATCTCTATTGAATGTTAGTTTTATGTAGCAATCATGGGCAGAGTCATAGTGAACTCAAGAGAAGGAAAATGTATTTGTATGTCCTATCTGATCTTATATGAAGCAGCTAATATTAGGATGTTTCATTGTGTGATAAACCTATTAACCACAAACTCTGCATTGAGGCTTGCAGATCATAACTACACGCACACACTCCACCACATGTTTATGTTGTCAGTTAATCTCTGATCTGCATACTGGAGATGGCTTGTAGCCACAGGCGTTTGTTGCTCGAAAAACAGCACATGTAAGCAACTCGCATAACCATAAGATGTTCTTACACCAGCATAAGACCTTAAACAAATAACACTTACTCAGCACGGAATATTTCTTCTCCCTTAATCATTTGAGTGACCAGTTTGTAATCTAAAATATGCAGTCTAACCTGGCATTGCCTCCTATTATGCCTCATGAAGGTTATAGTGTTTGTGATTTAATTAAACTTCACATTGAGGTGTTATAGTCGTTGCCCATTGAGTTGTGTGTCAATGAGATGTAAGTCTTAGTCAACACCATTATAACAATATAAAATAGACTAAAAGTTATAAACACCCACAGTACAATGCAACTCAACAGCACCCCAAACTACAGCCCCCAAAATGTTATTAAAGTCAACATCTCTTGCTTAGTTTCATTTCAACATTCAAGAAAGTCTGATGTATTGCAGGGCTGGTGTATAGCATTTTATAATGTTTTCTTACCCCAGTTAGCAAGGCAAAGATTAAGGCAGTCAAAGTCAAGAAACATTTAATGCAAATACAAATTGTGGCAAAAAAAAAAGTAATGTTGTCTAGCTTGGAGCGTACACACATTCTGCTTTCACAACGTGATCTTGCGAGAAGCAAAAAAGGAAACTGGTGTCTTGTCATACGTCATCCTGTGTGGGAGAATAAGACAGATGTTTTTGTGGAAAGCGCTTTGGAGAGAGGGGAAGAGAAAGAAGGGGAGGGAGGGATCTTTTAGTCACATGTCCTCTATAGGTCTTTTTATGTAGGGTGTCAAGGATGTTCGGTTAGTCTCGATAGGGTGACGAACTGGCTTAACTCAAACCCAGAGCTTATCGGGCATACATAGTGAAATGGAAGGTTTAATAAACAGTATAACAGCCCAGACAAAACGACACAACAGCGTGTTGTTACTGTAGACAGAGTTCAGGACTGAGGATTTAAAGACTTGATGTGTTTCTAACTTGTGTCAGAGGCACTGTGGTTGCCAGAAGAAACTGAAGACAACTGGAGATGAAGGACATTAAGTGGATTTATGCCATGCTTGTCTTCTTGCTGTCTGAAGCACAGAGCATCAAATCAGGTTAGAACATTAACACGTTTTACTGGCATTCTTTTTCTGCATTTCAGATGTTTAAGTGCTATACAGCTTTATAAAGACATTTTTTTTATAAGGTGCTAAGGAGTTGTCCTTATAGATACTAAGCAGCAAGGTATATTGTGCTTCTAACTAACAATTCCTCTTTGTATCTTTTCTACTGTACAATTGTGCCATTTGGGGAACTTCAATGGAAATGTGTTGTGCCGTTAACACGCAATATAACTCAAATAACATCCAGCCTTAATAATATAGTTATTTACTGTAGAAATCTGTGACATGTTGGTAACATTTAGATAAATGTTACTCATGCGGTTTTCCCCTCTGAGATTTCTGTTAGATTGTCTGTGGTTTGACTCACAGAGTAGTCAGTGGAAATGCTTGGAGGTGGGGTATTGCAGATTATGGTAAGGCATGGTAATCTTCCATAATGAAAAGGTTGCCCCATATTCTCTAAATGAACAATCAACATGCTTCCTCTTTCGTCTTCAGTGGAAATCATGATTTTATAACAGGGTAACACTATGATGCAGCTTTTTTCCTATGTGTTGTGTCTTGAAGGTGGAGGTGACGCTTCTGTTAGACATCTGTGGTTTTAACATCCCACCTTGTGCATGGGGTTTGGTTACATCTGTCAGATGTAAACAACTTTTAGAACCCCAAAACACTCCAAAGTAAAAGTCAGTCAATGATTGATTGAGTTTGTTTGAAATAGCTAGTTCCAATAATGCTAATATTTACTGTTTATCATTTATTTAACCAGGTAAAAATCTAATTCAGTTTCAAAACCTTTGCTAAGAGGGGAAGATTGAACGTTGAATAGAACATGTTCAAAATAGAACAGGCATAATTTAAAGCGCTTTTGATCAGAGATACAAGAGTGAACTTTTGTCCTTCCTTAACAATTTACATAAAGTCCCCCATTGGCTGTTGTGTAAGTTTGATCAGTAAGAAAGGGGAAGCTTACTTAAAAATAATTTTGCATCAGTGGAATATTTTGGGAGCTCAGTCTGGATTGAGTTTGTACACAAAGAAATGTGGAATACAGAATTTCCACAGCCAGTAAAAAAACAGCATCCAAATGATTTAGGCAATGGTCACACATACCAGGTCACTGTAATCCATTCAAGATAAAACATTTTAAATGTTTTCTTACCAGGGAAAAAGAGTATTTTTCTATATAAGTATATACAAATGCTTCTTAATTCAAGTTTTAGCTCGGGAACAAGGTTTTCAATCTGTGATTTCAAAATCATTCATTTGAATTCCTTCAGATTTCAAGATAATTAAGATTAGGTGTTAATTCCTCTGCAGTGCGGCTATGCAAATGGAGATTATGAAGATAAAATGTTCCTCTTTTTTATGTTTGGATTTTTTTATTTGATTAAATTGTTGGTTTTGCAATTGCTAAAGACTGTGAATGGTGGAGTTTCTGTCACAACAGTCTGACATTTGCCCCTGCAGCAGTTTGTCATGCCGGACCAGTTATAGCTGTATCGCTTCACTGCTGATCTCACAATCAAAAATAATAACAATTAACAAATAAATCACCTTGATTGTCACTCTGCTGATTAAAGACTTAAAATTCATAACTAACTGCTGTTTTCTGACTAAAAAATATCGTTTGTACTAACTCTTTCCTCACATCCACCTCCATCGCAGGAACTAACCAAAGCACCTCTGTGAACTCCAACTCTTCTTCTGCTGCGCATTTTGGTAAACCTATTTTCCAACTATTCCCTCCAGCTATTTTGCAGTATGAATTTATTGTAAAATAGGACTATAACAATTAAGTTAGTTATTTAGTTATTTAGTTAATTGACAGAATAAAACAGACATTCGAAAGAGTTTTTTTTTTAATGTAATTATGGCTATACCCAACTATTGCCAGTATCTCTTTAAACGCATGCTTGAATTTTGTCCTGCATCTTTGCTATTAATCATTAGCGACATGATCATGAGATCTTAAAGAGGATTTCTATGTGGGACAAGTCATTATTTGTATGTGTGGCTATTTTATTTTCTGTAATACCTACAAAACTAGGGGATTTATTTTATAGCTGTGTTCTTATGCTGTGCTACAGTACATGCTATATGCTTCCTAGTTTGTTTCATTGTTCATAATGATATGTTTTTGTGGTTGTTCATCCATGCCCCATGCAGAATGTAATGTTTCATTTCATGTGTTTTTAATATATTAGTATTTTCGAAAATAAATCAAAATCTGCATAATCTGTATACCAGATACCATATATCAATAAAGCAACTACTCTTTCCCTTTTCAGAGAAAATTCATGCAGCCTTTAACTTGGGGAGTGAAGCTATCCTGACATGCAGCAATAAGACATGGAAAGACATGCTGTTTGTCACCTGGAATATAGAACGGAATAGCAAAAGCTGTAGAATAGCCTTTAATGATAATGGACAAAACGAAGACTCGTGCGAGGATGGCAAGTCACTTCAAAACACATCTAGCTCTCAGTCATACCTGCACATCCCAAAGTTCTCCAAGGATGACGTGGGGGTCTACAAATGTAATCATGTTTACAATGGAGGAAGCGAAAATTGTGAGATCAATGTCACCATCACAGGTAGGACCTTTTCCCTCACAAGGACATTATGTAATAATATCTGTTTAGCCTGGATTTTGAAATATCTACTTAACCCTAATATTAATAATAATCATAAAATAAAATAGATTTTCTGCTGTTACTTTGCAAATATCTAAACAAGTGCATTTTGTAAACCCCCAAAACATTATGCCTTTCCACACAGTTAAAGTCCCTGTTACTATGGACAACATTACTGTTGATTTGTAACTGTAACTCTTTTATACTCAAACCTAGGCTATCAAATAAAAACTACTTTCACGGTTTAGTGCATATATATATATATATATATATATGGATTGATTTACATAAAGTATCCTGAGAGTCTGATTTCTCCTGTTTTGTGCTCAGTTCCTCCCAGGTTATCATCTTGGTTAGAGACTAAGGACAACAAGACGGTGGCGGTGTGCAAAGCTGAAGGAGGAAATCCCGCTGCCAACATCAGCTGGAGTCATTTGGGAATCGGAAATGCTTCGATTCTGGAAGTGAAAGACCCTCAGGGTTTATTTACAGTGGAAAGTCGTTTAGAGCTCCTTGAGGGAATGGACACAGAAAACCTGAATTGTTCTATCAGGCACCCATCTTACTTGGGAGGCCAAAAGACTTTAGCACTAAAGCCCAAAAAAGGTCAGTCTTTTTGCTGAGTGGATCACATGAGAGAAAACATTGGGTGTGGGGCAAAAGCAATAACATGTTTTAAAATGATTGAATGTCATTGACGAGGTATATTACAGTAGCAATTACAACCTTAGAAATGTTATGCTGTATTGTTAATTATTGATGTTCAGAAAATATTCACAAACCTATAATCTTTCATCTCTCCCTGCAGGATATGGTCCCTGGCTCTACATCCTTACTGTTGTGGTCATCATTGTGTTTTTGGCAGGAGTTTTATTTTTTGCACAAAAGAAACTTTGGAGGTAAGTCTTTTAATGAGAAACAAATTAATCACAATGTCTAATTGCAACCTTTTTGTTAAATAACTCGGTTGTGTGTCAAACTTTTAGGCGCTGCAAGCTTTCCGAATCATCACCATCCAAATCTCCACCGGTGGGTGTCTCTCCTGTTTGTCAGCAGTTTGTTGTTCTGTGGGTTTTACTGCACATTGTTAACTCTGTTCATAATGACACCTCTCTAGTTTTTACAGACAGAAGATGTGGAGGAAGTGGAGCCATACGCCAGCTATGTTCAACGTGTCAACTCTATCTACAACTAATCTGCAGATTTGGTCACATAAAACCCTGCACATGGATCACACACACACACACACACCACACACACACACACACACACACACACACACACACACACACACACACACACACACACACACACACACACACACACACACACACACACACACACACACACACACACACACACACACACACACACACACACGCACTTGTCTCGCTGTGAGAGCCTGAAGGATGTGAAACTGAGAAATTGTGAAATAGTGATAAAGCGGAGACTAAGTGAGACAAAATATTTCCGATCAGAGGCCTCCAAGTGTTGTTCTGCCCGGATTGAAGTTTTGACTGATGGAACAGGGGACTAGTCACACACTGGCTCTCATGTACAGCATTCATGCCCTCTGTGTGTGCGTGCCATTGAAATCATTAGCATACTACTTACAAATTCAATGAACCATTATGCCAAGTCTACAGAGTTTTTTCATGAAATACATGGACTACAAATATATGATCAGTATTATCTTTATTATTATACCAAATATTTATAGATATATAGTTATGCTTATATTTTAAATTATGCTTGTTGAAGTCAATCCAGTAAAAGAGAGAACACAGTAATGTTACCTCAAGATATGTGAATTATTCATGTGATGTGTTAATACAACATGTAATGGGTTAATTAAACACACATCTGAACACATTGGGGAGCTCTACAACATTGTAAAAGAACACTATAAGTACTACACAGGAACAAGAACAGGATGTTGTTTTCTTCGTAATCCAAGTCATTTCCAATAATGTTAACGTGTCATTAGTTTCAGTAGTGTGACACAAAGTGTTAAAAGCAAAAATGTCCCACTGTGTTTAATTTTGGAACAGATCAAATCCCTAATGCGTTTTTAGACCTGCAGCAAACTGATAACTGTTTTATCATCTACCTTTTGTCATCACTTTTTTGATTATCAGCCTTGAACTGTCCAGATAAATGTTGAGTATTGGAATTTGATGCAATAGGTTCATGATGAGTGTAAGTTCCCCAATTCTGAAGAATTGAAGAATGATACCATTTATGAACACATGTATTAGGCAACAGGTTGGGCCTCCTGAAGTCATTTCTAGTTTATTTCTAATGTGCTTCCAATCTCATTGATTGGAGCCGAAAGTTCCCTTTTATGTAAAACGATGGTCTTGCTGTTTAAATTCTGAGATTAAATCCAAAACTGCAGCTGCTTTGATGTTTCTAAAAGTCTCATTTATTACAGTTTTTCTCGATTGCTAACACACTAAAATGATACATACATAAAGCACAATTATTTTTACTGACACTCAAAGAGCAAAACATCGGCTCAAATCTCCAAAACTCTAAACACGTTTTCAGCTTTTCACACAATTTGCAAATCAACATGGCACTTTGTGCAAACCACTGCACACGTTTCTCCACGTAAGACCATAGACTGTATATAAAGCGTAAGACAGGAATCTGACATAAAGTCACGTGTTAGCAGGTTTAAAACACTGATATTCAAAATGCCTCACACATGGACCAATGATCAAGAAACACGTTCCACCTGACCAAACACCTGATAGCATGATTGTTGGCTCATCAATCAGGATGTTAGCACTATAAAAAGACCATAGGTGAGTACTTGCTTACAGCAACAATGGAAGCCAACGTGGAAGCATGAGCAAGAGGAAGAGGAAGAGCTGGGCTGAGGAGGAAGAGCTGGGGTGAGAGTGAGAGGAAGAAGAATGAGAGGTAGAGCTGGAGGGAGAGGACGTGGACAAAGAAGAATACTCTCTAATGAAATCTGGTGCACTTTGATTGACCATGTTATCAACCATGGTTTGACGATGAGAGAGGCTGGACAGAGGGTTCAGCCTAATAACGTTTTTATTTCTATCTACTGTATTTGACAGAAGCATCATTTTTGTTTGCGTTACTGTAACTATGTGCTGAGATGCATGTTGCACAATGTTATTTTTGAATACGTGCAACTCATTTGTACTTCTTCATTTACTGTATTTCTGTAAACTCAAGCAATCTTTCTCTGCAGAAACCTCTATGTACAGAGCATAGCCCATAACAGATGAAAGTGCTTTAGAGTATGCTCAGCAGTGTGTAGTTGGGTGGTCAAACCATCTAGTATTATGAATGAAGTGTGTTACATTTGGTGCTAGAGTTTGCATTTGGTAAGTGTTTAGTTTTGAGTGCAGTTCTTCATTTAGCAGGAGAAATTAGGTGTTTTGCACTTTGGGTGTGTGGTTTTGTGAATTGTGTTTAGTGTTCTGAGAAACTGAGCAATTTAAAAAAGAAAATGTGTGTTAGCAATCGAGAAAAACTGTATTTGGTTGGACAGAAAAGAGGAAACTAAAGACTTAATTTCTGTCTACATAAAACTCTTTTCATGACATATCTGATGACATATCGTAACAAATTAACATGTTTTTCTCACTCAATTGTAACTACAAACCTTACTGAAGTGTTCATTTTAAATAAAAAAGATTATTGCTACAACCTCTTGTTTTCAGCGATGCAGTTGATGCAACAGAATAACACACAAAGGTTTGTAATAAAAGTTCTACACTTTTAATCAATGAAAAAAGATAAATAAAAATGAAACAAATGCAACCTTCACCAACACACCATGCATCAAATCAATCAAATAAATAATTCTATCGATAGGCTATAGAGAAACATTTATGCATTTTCTGCATACACATACAAAACAAGGAAAAAATAAAAGTTCTCAAGCATTAAATATCTATTTGCAGTAGTTCTAGGATGCACTATTTTACAAAATGGGCACGTAATCTGGAAATCAGTATAAGATAATGTTTTATGGACATTATCACATAAACAATACATTCTTCCATTATGGATTTGATTATGTGGCAAGGGCACACATTTCACACACGAGTATACCATTTTATCGTGCACACTGTCAAGCTACAATCATAGTTAGAAATGGCTGGTTGAGTCAGCTCCAGGTGGGTTTTCTGCTGGAGAAGCTTTGGGTATGGGTGGAGCCATGTTTTGGCTCTGTTTCAATAAAAACAACAGATAAAGATCAAAATGTTGTCTTCAGTGGAAAGTCATAGTCACAGCACTCTTATAACAAGTCACTGTGCTTCTTCAGTGTTCACCTTATGTTTAATGTTTTTCTTAGCTGCCATTCCTTTCCCTTCCATTGTGGAAAAAGAGTCCCTCCACTTGTGTAGCACCTCTACTCTCAGCGCTGAAGGTAACACAATGAATACACAAATGATTACGACCCCATTGTCTATAAATGAAAAACATATGAAATCCTGGCTTTTAGATTAAGATTAAATTAGTTCTTCATCCTTCAGGTAACGCCGTAACAACAGTGGTTTGCCAGAAGCTACTGGTTCAACTGTTTTGGAGTAAAACAGAAATAGCCTCTGGCATTCACGTCCAAATCCCAAATATTATGTGCAAAATGTATACAACATACTAATTCTATACTGTATCTACAACATACTAATCATCAAATTACTTAAGCATTTCATACTAACAGGGAAATCTGATATCAGTTAAATTGTGACTTTGGGAAGCTACTAAAAGTTTTCTGCAAACGTGTATGCAGTTAGAATAGTTCTGAAGACTTTAATAAAGGTCATCGTGAAAACCTATTGGATTTGCCTTTTTGAGAATTTGCCATTCATATGACAGGCAAAAGTCAAGCCACACACCATTAGTTTCATCTGACTTACTGATTCCAGATATATTGAGGTCATGACTTTTCGTATCTAACTGAAGAGTTGCAGATAATTGTCCAGGTTGAGTTTTTAAAGGTCAAATGCGATGCAAGTGTGTATTCTTGATAAGTGAAATCCCAGTCCTGTTCAGTCATTTTGCATCTTGTTGTTTCCGCAGCAGCTGAAGTAGAATGTGGATGATTTTCTTTTTCATTTTGCCACCGTTTCTTCATTGAAGATCAAAACTGTTTGCAATATTAAATACAAGTCTTGTTGCAATTGCCCAAATGAACCTGTCCTCGTCTCCTTTCACCCCATGAGGACATAATCGTCTGCACATTCGTCTTTAGAGGAGCACTGAGACACACGATCGGGCTGAGGTGGTGCTGGGACAAAAACTGTTGCATAGTCACAATCATCGTCAGCGGTAGCTATGGTTCTACTCGGTCCTTTGGCGGTGGTGTGGTCAATAGAGGCGTACAACACCTCCTCCTTAGGCTGTCGTGAGATGATACACAGAGTCAGATGTAATTCCTGAACATACGTCACACATCAATCATTGTTCTTTATTGATGCAGTGCTATTTCAACCAGCAGGTTTGTTTTTTTATGTTGGTGGTGGTTATTACTTCCTGCTGAAATAAAGAGCCTCACAGTGTCTTTTACAGCACAGGCCTTACACTCATGTTCCACCATACAAATCTAACGGGGCAGCACCTCTGATTAGGCCAGATAAAAGCACAGGAACACAACTATGTTCCATATAAAGCTGATACTGATAACTATGACAAAAATAGACTTGATGTGGGGAAATTTACCTTACTATCTGTGCTGTTTCTTCCATCAGCTGCAGTATCCCCTGAGAAGAGAACATGTACATATATGAAAGGAAAACTGTTCAGCCTAATATACATATATTCTAATGACTATAGATGTTCCCTTACCTTTCCTTTTCTTCTTCCTGGCAACAAGAGCAATACATTCATTAGTGTGAGATAAATTCATTGTATGAACATGTTTATATGTTATGATGTGATACCATAAACCATAATCTCAAACATCAAAAAACATATTTTTAGTGGTGTAGGTTTGACCACAGTAGTGTTTCCTTGACAGCTCAGCAAATAACAGTGTGTGCTGCAACAGGAAACACTTTGAATATGCAACCCACATCTTTCTATGACAACCTGTATTCGTCATTGATTAACTACATGGGACAAGGCATTTTGCATACTTCTAAGGCCACATATGACATCATGTTTAAAATAAAAATGTAAAGGACTGTAAGCCAAGTCTTTATGTTTGAAGCCGGCTGACACCAAGTCTGTTCTGAAACCACTATTTCCTCACTGACGCAAATGCAGAAGCTGCTTAAAACAGGGTCAAAATGCAACAGCGTTTTCATTAAACAAGCCTCTAACTACTTCATATTATTTCATTAAAAGAAGGTCTTGCCATTATTTTCCTCTAGTTTAATCAATCAAGCTTTCTGTACATGCAGCACTTTCAAAAAGCTGTTTGAGCATTATAACCCTGATGAAAATAGCTTAGTGTAGTGCTCTTAATTATATGTGAACCAAAGTTTCATTGCTTACCCTGAAGTGCAGTTTCCCATGATTCACCCCACAGAGTCCTGATGTTCACACAGTGTTTGTCAGCAGGTGGCGGGTCTCTGTTGCAACCCTGAGCTTGACACTGAAGTAGACACTGATATCACTGATCTCACTCCCGATGTATCTGAGTGCAAACAGGCCAGAGAGCGAGAGGGAAGGAGGGGGGGGGGAGAGAGAGAGAGAATACAAAGCCTTTTTTGTGTGACATTTGTATTTCCTGTGCACTGTTTTGAACACCTCACCATTAGAAACAAACACGTGCATTTTGCCTACAAATTATAATAAACACAAGCACATAGCACACAGAACATAGTCGAGCAAATTCTTACAATATAATTTGTCGCAATACTTACAACTTTATCCTACAAACATGTGAATGTTCTTCTTCTCCATAACACCATTTATATTTAAATTAATACTAAGAATAAACAATCTGTATTGCTACACATTACAGGTGTTAGTAGATTTAGGATGGAAACTGTAATATTATTTTGTACAAGAGCAAACCGTTTGGTAGAGTCTCATGTGCATGATTTTGCAAATGTTGTTGATGAGTAATATGAGGAAGTCACTGACCTTTCTTTCATATTAGGTAAAAATTCCAGTTGACTTCATAGGCTGTGTCATTGTTAAGAGTCTAGACTTGTATGTATGGATGAATGGGTTTCTAAAATGCAAAATGCAGGAAAGTCTGTTTTCTGACTGACAAAATATCAGATTTTTGAGATTGTTTAGACATACAGGATTCAGAAAACGTATATTCAGGTCTGTCAAATGTAGTTCATGGTACTACATTATCCACTAGATGGTGCTGTTGGAGCAGTCTGGGTAACACAGTCCTACCACATGAGCATAACATGGCCTCAGTCTACAGAAGAGTAAGTGTAATATACACAATTAAAACAAAAGACACAAAAACAACATCACTTTTGTGTATGTAAAAAACACGATGCAGTCCATCCATAGCCACCAATCATCTACACCTGTGATGAATAACAAATTATATCTATGCGCATTTTGTTCTTATTTTAATTGATAAGACAGTGTGACTTTGAAGCCAGAATTTCACAACTTCCTGCTAGGCTCTTGAGACACTTTAGGACTATGCAACAGAGTTGTTGAGATGATGAATATGTACACATTACAATAGTGATCCCCAGTCCCTTGATACAAAGTAACAAGCCAACTCAATGACCTTTAGAACTTGTACTTCAGCTTTTGCATTAAGGAGGGCCTTACATCTGTGTGTTTCAGAATTAGATAGTGAAGATAGGCACGCTATTTTCATGTGTGTACATCCTGACCTGTGTTGTCTCGTGTCGTGACATATTGAGACACACACATGCTTGGTGGTCTTTTACATGTGTGGGTGGAAAGGAAGTGGTGAGCTTGTTGCAAGTGAAATAAGCCCAAGCTGTGGTAGCAGCAATGTAAGATAAACTGTGAGAAGTCATGGTCATGAACACATCAGGTAGAATGGATAGACTACCATACTTCCATCTGCTGATATGTTGCTGTTTTACCTTTGTCTGCATCTCTGGAAAAGGTGAAGGTAAGCCTTAACACTCTTTATCTTGTGATCTGACATTCAATAGTTGGAAGAGTATAGATATATAATATAAATCAACTTACATAGGTACTTCACTAAGTACAATTTTGAAAATCGTGTCCTTTACATTTGATGCAACTTTATATTTCATGTACTTTACTTATTTTACATATGTAGTTACAAGTTAGGTTTACAGATCTAAATTAAACTAGAGAAAAGTTACTCTTTAGATTACAGCATTGTGTAAATTGTGTTTAGTTTATTATAGGATCCCCATAAGCTGTCCCCTAAACCTAAAGCACCTGCTAGTTTTTAGTAAGTGAGGATTAACAAAGGTTAGAAAGGAGGAGGGCACAGACTTTTTGTTTTAAAAGTACTTCAAATATATGGTAGGACCAAAATAGAAGAAAATGTGGAAGCAGTGATGAATTTTAAGTAAAATAATTGTTATTGTTTTATCTCATGTAAAACTCAAATACAAGACTAAAAATGAGTTTTGGATGATATCTGATATTTTTTGTATATTTTTTTAGACATCTCTTCATGTGCAGTGATGGTCCGAAGCGGCGCGACATATAAAACTGTCCCACAACACAATGTGACGGTCAGCTGTCCCGTCAAACACTGTGGAGAACCAATCAGTGTCACCTGGTGTAAACTGGACACAGCAATCAAATGGGATCAGATTAAATACAAAGACAATATAGAAATAACACAGACTGACACTAAGGATGGACTCATCTCATATCTGACCTTTACACGGATTACCTCTCAGGACGACGGCCTGTACAGATGTTCTTTAAAAGGATACGAGTCTGAGCAGATCAGTCACAGCATCAACGTCTCAGTGTCAGGTAGGCAGTTTTGCTCAATTAGTGCCAACATAGATGTATAATAATCAATAATAAATGTAATATAATTTATATTCATATACAGATTCAAACACGGACATACATGACTTTGACTATAGTGCAGGTAAGAACTTTGTATTATTTCTCAAGTTCTACAAATACTTTTGAATGGAAAAAGACTAAAACTACTGATCTGTTTATTCTTCTGTAGATGAGCTTCCAAGCTCTGCTGCTGCTGCTGTTGCCGATGCCGGTGAGGATGTGTCATGGCTGCCCTACTTCTACATCTGTGTTGGCATAGCTCTTCTGGTTTTCACACTGTTAGTGTTAACCATGCTGGATTCTTATGGCTGGAAACGTAATAACATTCCCAGTTTGAATGACAGTAAAACACATTTTCTAGATCTTTCTAAATAACCATGGAGCATTTGTTTTATGTCTTCTCTACAGGAATAATGACCTTCCACCACACAAAGGGAAAGGCATTGCAGGTAATACATGAGATGTAAACGAAATGACCTCTTGTACTTTAAAAGGTGCAGCTTATTTGAGACTATTGTTCTTGCAGGATTTCTGTTGCTCTGCATTTTTATCCTCATGGCACTTATTGTTAGTCGCTTTGCATACAATGTCAGCTAATTGTAATGTATTTAATCGTTTCTGGAAATTCATTTACATCCATTCTTGCTGAAAGTTATATAAGAAGTTTGATAGCACTCTTGTCTGTGACGTTGTTATTGGACATCTTACTTTAACCAAATTTCCCAATATGTCAAACAAATCCTTCAACCCAGATGGTCAAGAGTCAAAATGGTGTCAAGCATGAGCATATTCCGGGTTTATCTAATCTTAAATCTGGTGTTTTGGTGTCATAGGAAAGGTCCAGTCAGATGATACCCAACCTCCCCAGTGCGAGTGCTCCTTCCATTTTTTATTTACATGACATCAACTACTCTCCTGCGGAAAGACCACCATCACACCCTCCCCTGAGGACCAATTGGGAGCAGCCTGCTGCGGAAAACACAGCGGCTGAAGGTCAAGTGTCAGACCACTCAATGTATGCAGTCGTCAAACACAGGTCTCAGATACCTGCCGGAGAACAGGATGCTGTGACGAAAAAGAAGGCAGAGTATGTTGCCATCAATGTTTCCTGAACATTTTGGATTTGTCATAGCATGGCATGCAGAGGGAAACATGGATGGAACATTTTACAGTTATGCGTTGGTGTCATGGAACAGCAATCAACCTCATTGCAGAAGAGGTTAACAGAGGAGGCGTGTGGTCCCGCAGATGCACAGCACACTCACTCACACTCAGAGCACACTCACGTTAAATGAACAGCGTGAAACCACAGGCAGCATTGCTCTTTTTTTACACCCTCAGGTTTGTTCCAGGCAAGGCTGCTTTCTTGTCATTTTTCTTCAGATGTTTTCCCCTAAAGTCATTGTATTTCCGTGACTTAGAGGGCTTTTTCTACTCATTGACCCTTTGTTGGCCAACGCTTTGGTAGTTTGTATAAAAAAAGCCATAGTGGCAAATATGTGTTATGAGCAGGAGCACTACTGTGCATTATTGTTGTCTGATTTGGAATGAAGACCGAAGTTTGGGATGTTTCTACATCTTAAAAACAAATTACAAAACAATCATTAGGTGATCTGTGACTGTGAAACCCTTTGTTTTTGAAAAGTCATGAATGTGGAGTCGTTTTTATCTACTTTTGAATTATTGAGGTGACTATGTATAAATGTTTGGCTAGATGATTATAATTGTTTTAATGTCTACCTGGGAGACTGAGAAGTAACATCTTGAGCAAATTCTCACACATTTTGCGTTCCCACAGCTTTCTGACTTGTTGTCTGCCTCCGACGGAAACACTACCCCGCCCATTGACCTCAGCAGTGTGGCTTGGGTTAAATGAGCTCGAAGTCACAGAGGGGAAAGAAAGATATCTTCACATCATTTTTTGTGGCAGGTGTCTCGCCTCTGCCGAACCACACATGGTTTAGATACTGAGATACTGAAGGTTTTAGTTTTAGCAGTGGTCTTATCATAATGGTGGTCACACATCCAGGAAGTTGAGTAACATGCATGACGGAGGTAAAATGGTAAAACCAATTTACCATCTGACAATGATATGTCAAAATAGACCATGAGTTGTTCGTCCCCAACGTGTTTTAGCTTTTACCTGAGAAACAAATCAATATCTTTCAGAGAGCCATGGCCTTAGTGTGAGAAGTTTGACGAAAAGTGATTTTCCTCTCAGATTCCCTAATTGAAAGGATTTGAATTCAAAACAATATTTTCGGTCAAATAGCCTGTTCTTAATACAACCATCAGCATATTTCTAAATGATAAATTAAAGACATATGTATATTCTATAGGCCAAATAAACTTGTATGCCATTTCAAAATGGATTCTGAAGGTATTTGGCTGCTTCTAGCATAACTAAAGAAACAGCGCATGAAGGTTTGAAAGAATGGCTTAACTCTCTGTTAAGTGTTTCAAATGTGATTATCACAAGCCTGGCTTGTCATGAATTAATTGTGAAATATTCAGTTGTTTCTTCCATGATGTATCATTGTTGGTGGTGAAATCTTGCTCACATTTAGAGATGTGAGTAAGCAAAGTCATACACTTACATTTTGAATACCTGATTTGATTACAAACTGATCAATAGATTTAAAAATAACCTTATATTTGTTGACTTATAGGATAACCCTAACCCTGGTGGGGAAAAATAAAAGTTTTAAAAGATGACAGAATTAAGAGCAGAGCCAGAAAAGCGGGCATGGCGCTGCTCAAGACCACAAATCACTGCCCATCATGCTGATAACACACACCGTGTCATATTGACAATCGGATAACTCAGTTTTCTTTAGAGGATGTCAAGTGGAGCACAGTGTTCCTTGTGCTGTAATCCATTTACAGATGCTCACACAAGGGTCCTTTCACCAAGGAACAGCATGGGGAAAATGTCATGAAATGCTTCTGAATGATGTGACCCGGATTGTACAAATCACTTACAGTTATTCACAGCACACATCGGAGAGGAAGGGGAAGTGTCATCCTGACAATCATGTAAAAAGACTATTGTCACTTTTTTACTGTTTTAATAAAAATGTATCATCTCAACAACTGTGTGTGGTTACAGCCCATACACAAGTTATCTCTCTCTCTCTTGCTCACACACACATGCATGCACATCAGTAGTTTATTCTCTGGTGGACAAAGCCCTGGTTCAGGCCACAGAGAGATGGAGAGTGTGGAGGCTTGTGCGAACGCAGCGTTTGAGATAGGCCTGATTAGAAGGAGTCTGAGGTCACTGTGGTGTGTGTGTAGACTGTGCTGCACTGTGACTAAAAACACCCGACAAGGTGAAGAGGGGTGCTCAATGATTATGATCCTACTCCAAAATAACCCTTAAAATGATAGCTTGTGTTTCTGGGACATGACATAAATCTAAAATCTGAACTATCATAACTAATGGGATAACTATGTAAAACGTATTTCACACTTTACTCATTGATGCTGTTTAAGGTTAAATGCTCTGATGTAGCACTGGCAGCTTTAACGTCATAGTTTATGAATACAGGTTCAACTTTGGTACAGAGTAACAGAAGTGAGCAGGCAGTGTTTAAGGTTACATACACTCAACATATCTAGCAGAACTAACAAATACTGTATGTTATCCTAGAGCTTATGAATATAACAAAACATAACAGGCATGTGCCGCAAGCTCTGAGAGTGACTGTGTGTACAACATGTGTGTGTTTCTTTGGCTCTGTGAGGTCCACCCTAATCCGTCTGGCTTGAGATGAAAAAAGCCTCCAAAAATGAGCATCTGGCAGGAGGTTTGGCACAATGGAAAGGAATTTCATGTTTTTCTGAGAGGTACAAAACTAAGCTGAAAAAGCTGAAAGCATGGCCAGATTTTAAATTGATAAAGACTCAGAAACATAAACATTTTCATATATATTTATTATTCTATTTGTTGCATTTATTACATAAACTGGTCATAACGCATCGCTTCATATTCATTTCTTCTTCTATTCGTGACTGTAGCTGCAGATAGATACCATGCTGCATTGATTTGCTTTTTAATACATTTTCTTAAACCACATTTCAGAATTATGTTAATGTAAACTCTGAACTATGCATATAAAGAAGGCTGTCTAAACTTTAATTCAGAAGGAATGAATGTGGTATGCCCGATTAAAGCAATATGTTAGAAATGTCAAACATGTCATTCTGTTCATACCTTCATTTTCTCTGATAAACAAGATACTTTCATCTTTTAACTATAGGTTATACGTATTTGAGATGTCTGCCTTTAATCGACAGAGCAACCATAGAGAGGAAGGTAGAGGGATGGGGGGGAAGGGGATAGTAGCAAAGGTAAGACCCTGGTATTTGAGTCACACGCAAAACCAGATGAGCTACAGTACTATACAGAGGGGTCCAAAGCTTACATTTCTTCATATCCTGTACACATGCAAACATGATATATCCGAAAAGCGTCATAACATTATATTTGAGGCATTAAGACCTCGAAGCTCAGCCGCTACCCAACCTGTAAACTCATCATCACATCTTCACAGACACAAACTGTCCTGAATCTAAGAAGTAGACATGCATTCCTGTCAGGGGCACCAACAAGGTTTCAGTGTTACTCCCCAGGGGAATTGATTCAAGATATCTGACCGTGGAATTTAACCTCAAACACATATGCACACACACACAAGCACACGCATTGGATAGTAATGCTAGGCCCCACACACACACACACACACACACACACACACACACACACACACACACACACACACACACACACACACACACACACACACACACACACACACACACACACACACACACACACACACACACACACCACACACACACACACACACACACACACACACACACACACACACACACACACACACACACACACACACACACACACACACACACACAGTAGGTATGAAGCCAATGCTGCACAAATGAAGATCCCACCCAGCTTTAACAATACACAGAAGTGAAGGAGGTCTTCGGCTGAGGTACAGGAAGTAAAACCTTAATGATTAGCTCATCATTTCAATTAGCTATGTTATCAACTGTAAAGGATAAGGCTGGTAATATTCTATATCTTTCCTAGTATCCAATGTAACAGGAGCCAACCTCTACAATACTGGTTTGGTTGGGAACTAACTAAGATGTTATCCTTAAAGAATAAGGCATTTTAAAATGAATAGCTGGTCACTGTAGTTTTAAGTAAATTTTACTTAGATAGTGAGTATCCAGCCTGAAATAAACACACAACACAACAAATGACAGTGTTCTGGTCACTGGTACAACTTGTTGCTCAGTATTTTTGTTTTAATAGTTTTTAGGCAACAATGCAGGGGTATGATATTTCAGACTTTTAGTAGTAGAATCAATTCATTGTTGGTTTTAGTCTTATTGTTGAATAAGAAAAAATAGAACAATACCAACCATATCTTTTCAGGACTACGTAAAAGAAAAAGAAAAATAGAGGAAAGTATTTTAGGGACATGCAATGTTTTGTATGCTGTGCAATGTGCAGAGTGTGGTCATGGACTCAATCAATTACAGAGCCAGAGAGAAAAAGTTATCTGCTTAGCATTTCCTCATTGACTTCATGTGAGGACAGCCTGGAGATTATATAAGAGTCAGATGCGGAAGAGCAGAGATGAATGTCGTTGTACAGTTGGCGTTCATGAGTAGGATTGTATATGACATCCTATAAAGGTGTGTCAGGACATCTTTCCTTCGTACCTAGATAATGATGATGACGGCGACGACGATGATGATGATGATGATGATGATGCAGGGAAACGTTTCTGCAAGGTCGGCTCTGAAAAACACTGCCTTTTCTTTTCAGCCACTGGTCTCATCTTGTAGATTAATCGGCTGAAAGCAGAAGTACAGAGAGACACAAAATATAAAAATGATGTAAAGAATGTCAATCTTTTCCAATATTAAATGTTCTAGGTAGGAGAATACGATTTAAAGGTCCCCTATTATACTGTTTTTCATAAATATATTATAGGTCTCAGATATATACAAAACATGTCTCTGAAGTGTTTGGCTCGAAATACCAAACAGATCATTGCAGCATTACCCATAATCCCCTCTGTTTCAGCCCTGTTTCAAAAGTGCTGATTCTCTGTCTGTTACTTTAGATGAAAATAAGGAGCCACTCCCCACGCCCCTCTGAGAGATATTTGGTTGAAAAGAACACAATAGTGCTCTAGGAGGAGATTCAGGTGGGACGGTGGGCGGGTGTTAGCTTGGTTGGTTTTTGGCTAATGGTTACACAAGCCAAATAATCGTTATGACATCATAAAGTGGCCAAAATCTGATCAAAGACAGGTTTTTATATAAATGGATCAGGACAAAAAGTGAGGGAATCTTTTTTCCTGAAACTTTCAGAATCTCTTTACACAGAGGAAACACATGTTTATGTACAAAATACATGAAAAAGTGGATTTTGCATAATAGGGGACCTTTAAACTCTGACTTGGTGTAGCTATGACATTGCAGGCTAGTGAGGAAGACCATAAAAGCAGATCCCCCTTCAAACCTGACATCATTCAACTACTTGTAAAGAAACACATTACAGCCGCACTGAGCTATATTAATACTGGTTTGGCAAAATAGTGACTTAAAGGATCATTACAAAAAATGGTATACACTGATTTTTACATCATCTGATCTTGTACAAAGCTTGATCTGGAGTGATGAGGTCTGGATCATAGTATAATTATAATTTGTGTTTTTTGCCACTAAAGTATAAAATGACCTTTTTTTAACATATCATTTGACTTTTTCGTGACAGTACTCTCACTTTTTCAGATCTTGTCTATCAAGGCATTAATTTCGAGCTCTGCTTTGGCCAGTGTGCAGGTATTTCCTCTATCTACATAATTCATATTGCAGACACGTGGTTTATTCCCTTCATGCACAGATAGAAAACATTGATTAGACAGGCGTATAAAGTGCAGATGGAGTGCAGGTAGCAAAGAAAAGATGCCATAAGCAGGCAATCATGTGAATGAAAAGAGCTGTTAGCTCCTGTTGGCATGAACAACCTCAGAGAAAAGAAAACAAAGAATCTAAAAGGCGCGGTAGAGCTGAGCAGAACTGTTCCAGATATCATTACAAATGTATCTGATTAGTGCAGCAATAACGTTTATTTTTGTGCTAATATAAATGCCTGTTTCCAGACGTCTCCTTTAAGAAATGAGCAGATATGAGATCCGGAGTGAAACCAGGGATCTGTTACAGAAGTAAGAAAACATTATTCAATATCCAATTGAGTTTTACCAAAACTACTTTCTCAACGTAGCTTGCTTGGTATATTTAGATGAGAATGCTAGTTTAAAAAATAAAATCTGGTATTGTTTATACAATAGGAATATTCTCTAGCAGGTTTTAATAAACGCTATCTCTCATAAGCCCTTGATGATCACGGCTCAACAGAACTGGTTCATGAGAGAGGAAGTAAATGTCCTTTGACTTTGTTGAAATGGTGAAAGTCTCAATTTCAAGATAGGGATTTTGTCTAAAGTACATCTCGGAAACATGCTTCACTTTTTCAGAAAGATAGATGTGAAACAAAGGCGAGCCAGTCGGTGTTGCAGCGGCACATCCCAAAGGGCCGATGTTCCTTTTCATTGTTTCTGTAGACACCTGGACAGTTTGCCAAAACCCACAATAGGGAGGAAGCTTAACATATATATATTATGGACTTTAAATGACCTGAGGAAAGAATGGTGGTTGTGTGAAAAGATCTGTACGAATTATACCAAACAATCCAGGAGAGTTTCTCCCCACTGTCTTCTGCACATATACTGTATAAATGAACTGGTGTTTAAGAATCAGATGTATAGGAGTATGACTCTTGGCAATATATTTTGTTTACCATTCATTCTTGATATAATGTAAACCCTGATATTACCAAACATGATCTTACCTTCTTTGCGTAAGAAACACTTCCAAAGGCAGAAGCAGAGGGACATGACCAACAGGGCAGCCACCGTAGTGACGGAGATCAGGATAGTGAGAGCCGTCCCAACTACGAGGGAGAAAAAGAAAGAACTGATCAGCAGCTTTGTTATCTTCCATATCTATATAATCTATAATCTCTAATTTCTGCTCTTGCAGAAACCAGATTTAAAGTCATGATAGGTTTTACAGTATGTGTGTGTGTTTGTGTACTATAAGGCTAGACTGGACAATGCCTCCCTTTTATGGCCCATCACTGATTAGATTTGAGATTCAAACAGTTGAACTCCTGACCAAGGTCAATTTAGGGTTATCAGCTAACTAAAGCAAAGCGACTTACACATGACACTTATGAGCACATTTAACTTTTGCCCAATCATTAGCTGCATTAAAACTAATAAAGATGTTTGTTGTAGTTTCCCTTTAGAGTCTCGGCTTTATAATTTGCTAGGAAAAAGATCTGAGGTGATGCTATCTAGTACTTTTGGAATATTTTTTTAAAAAAAGACACAATGCTATCAAACAATTAGAGGTTCTCATTGAAGCGGAGTCTAACACACAAACTCACTTTTAGTGTTCATGGATACAGCAATCGGGGACTCAAGCCCTTTGTGGTGCACCAAGCATTTGATGGACACGTCTTTCAGCAGCCCTGATTGGACGGTCAGCGTACTTATGACCAGAGTGGTCCCGTCGCTCTGTGGGATCTGTGTTGTCAACGGGGGGCCCATGGTGCGGTTATCCCTCTCCACGTTCCACACTATCTCTGCCGGGGGCCGCGACACTGAGGTGCAGTTGGCTGCGATCACACCTGGAGACGTGGTCTTGTAGCTCACCTGAGGTTTGGGCAGCACTGAGAGAAAAAGATAGAAAAACACACATTTACAAACAAGCTCATACAGTGCAAGATGTACACATAATGAGTTCACTGAAATGCACAGGGAGTTAATGTTGTATTGCTCCTTCCTTCATCTTAAGATAAGATAAGAAGTACTTTATTGATCTCAATTTGGGAAATGTTTGTGTTGCAGCAGCATATAAAAAAGACAATGTACATAAGAGAAATTAAAAGACTAGAAATAAACAATCCAAAATATTTCTCAAATAGAAATAAAATAGCATTCAAAAAGTAAAATATATACATGGGGAAATACAAATTTACAGTAACAAAATATAAAGCAGGATATTATATATACGTTAATTTAGCAAGGAATGGATTATTAAATATTAAATTGAACATAAATGTACTGTATCTTTTGTGCTGTGTGTGAAATACAGCACACTGGAGGACTGGAATATTTAACGTGTTATTTTCATCCAGAAACAGGCCAGGACTCAGATTATGTCTTTAATTTGCTGAGATCTACATATAAAAATCTTTGGATCAGGTGAGTGTCTGAATTCCTGCAATCTTATTATCCATAAGTCAATCGCTGGCTGTTTTCAATTCCCTGCTCTCGGGGCTGAGCAAGGAATGTGATTTACTGGAGAAGAGAATATTTTTGTTGGCATGACCATGTTCAGCCACAGATATTTAGCCCTCATAGTTTCAGCGCCTTCTCTGAGTTCTAGGTGCTGAACTTCAACCACAATGTGTCTGGATTGTATCAGATTTCAGGGTGGGTTAAACCACACCAGTAAAATCCTTAAAACAATCCAAACCATGATAACCTGTGAACTATTGTAGCACAACGCAGGCATGAGATTGAGTTTAGCCCCACAATTAAATTCAACAGTTTTTTCTTACAGTGTTTCTCACCATATTGCGATCGGAATGCTTCAGATTCAGATAATAATAGTTTTTTACATTGACATTTGAATCATTATTTTTTATAATTATAGATGTTGCCACTTGAATGTTTCTCTACACTTCAGCCACCACTGATATGTAATGTTATAATTTCATCCCATGTAAAATGTAACCCACTTATTTATGGCGTGACAACTTTCACGTCTGCAGAGGAATAGCATTATGCAATTTAGAGTTACTAGAATGTGTATTGCTCCTGTGATTTATGTTTTTTGAAAAAGTTAAACTTGTACTACTTTTTTTTTTTAATGAAGTGACGTTTTGCTACTAACAAAAATAACATTTTAAAGATACATATTTGATTTGAATGATTCCCTGAAAGATAATGTGCATTTGTGTCTTTTAGCTATCACTCTTTGTGGACAGTGTGTGGGAGGGTGGGAGTTTCAATCAGGAGGAGGCATCTCATCATCTGGGCTGGTATAAGGGTGGAAGACTGTTGGCAGCAGTATACAGCAAGAAAAAAACCATAAATGCTAATCACGCTTCTCAATTCTCTACTAAAAACACCTACTGTACTGTACAGTTCAAGGTACAGTTCAATTTCAAACAAAAGCACATCTGTTTGTTGAGATAACTGAGAGAACGCGAGGGGGAGAGAATGAGAAACGAGAGACAAAGCACACAGGGAACCACTGTGTGCCACAAACACTGACACAGTCATGCATCAGGACCTCACTCCCTGCCTCCATCATTCTTTCGAATAGTCCTTTCTTCACATCGACACACTGTTCTGTGTTTGTGTGTTTAATATGTGCCGACAGCTTAGCTTTACTTTTTCACTAAAACATTCAACAGCTACAATAGAGAAAAAACAACATTCCTGTCAAAATCCCAGGGGTAACCGTCTTCACGCAACCTTGCACTTGCTCGCATTTGTTCGTCTCCTCCGCTTTCCCTAAGATATTGTCTTCCCACCTCCTATACCTACTGAAGGACATATTCAATCACAACTAAAGCTCTGCAACAAATTGGCATCTGAACTAAGCTTACCTATTAATTATTTTTCAAATAAAAATTCTGCCAGAGGCGTTAACCCAAAAATGACACTATTGTGACAAAGAGAGAGTAAAAGGTGGATGACTCCGGTAACAACAATAGCAAAATATGTCAATTTGATGGATTACCATGACATTTGGTTCGTAATTTGGAACAGCCATTCAGTAACACTTGCTATAACTCCATTATACTAAACTAAGCTAACCATCTACTGGTATCAGGCACATATGTAGTGTTATCAATCCTGTTATTTAACACTTTCTAAGAAAGCTACAAATTATATTTCCAAAAATGTCAAACTATTTTTTTAATAAGTCATTTTTGGACACAACAAAGACTGTGAATGTTTAACATTGGAGTTGTGGAAGGGTTTACTCCACCACCAGTATGAAGTCAAGAAAATACACCTTTGTTACCTGCTTGGGAATGTAAGTATTGTTGTGATTACTAAATATCCTTATTTCTATATTGCATGCTAAAACAGTACACTACTGTATGTTGCACGTAACCTGTTCTTCCCAGGTTAAACTCAAGCTTTCCTCACTCATTCTGTTTCTGTTTTCCACACAATAATAATCAGCCATTATGACAGGCTGTGAAAAAGAAGGTTACCATAGGTGGCGAGACAAACTGTGGAGGTCTTCGGCCCATCGGGGTGTGTGTTGAACAGGCAGGTATAGCAGCCTTCATCCTGGATGGTGACCGGCTGGATGGTGAGCTGACTGTCGGACAGGGAGGCGCTCAGCCACACTCTCCCCTGGAACGGAGGCTCTATCATGGGGTCACTGCGCTTTGCAAAGGAGGCGACCTCTGTGGCTTCTCCTTGTGCAGAGGTGTGTCTCCATATTATCTGCCCCACCTTTTCAGGCAATCCATAGGAGCACGAGAGAGAGGCCTTCTTGCCACTCACTGCTGTTTTGTTGCCTTCAGTGGAAATATGCGCTGGGAAGAAACAGATTGAGGAGAAAAGATAAGAAAGGAACAGGAAAACAGAGGGGGAAAAAACTTGATAATAGTATTATTCCAAAATATGAGGATCCCAAACAAAAACGACTGGAATCTGGAGCAGCTGGTTCTGCTTATAAAAATGACCCCCCCCCTCCCACAGCTCCAAAGCTCTTTATTAACATGACTGGCTGAGCCTCAACGAGCTCATCAACATGTGTTCAGGGGTTCAGGGAGGTAAGGCACTCAGAAGTCCCCACAGAAGATTGATATTGAGTTTGTAGGGAGGAGCTGTCTCTGGAGTCTACTCGAGGATTGTTTTTGATTAATTTTAAAGGGTGGGTGCAAAGGGCAGGCTTCCAAAATCAGTTATGCCAAGTCAAAATATTTTGCAATCACGAGAAATAAAAACACCTTTTCATAAATTAAAACAATAGATTAAACTGTAAAGGGGTAAAGATAAGTTATCATTTACATTTGCTACTTATTTTAAACAGTCACCCTAACAAATCTCTTCATTTCAAACACAAAAATAGATCAATACTGAATGAAAGATACTGATGCAGTACCAAATATCTGAGTCAGGTGTTATTCTGGATATCTGAGCTCCTCAGTTTGCTTGTAAGGGTGAGATCTATCTTAAATCTGTCTCATTTCTGGGTATGGCCATGAGCATTAATCAACCTGGCCTTAACGTGAACTCTCATCTGGCTCATGACCCTTGAAAGAGCAGAGTCACTTTCTGGCTTGTATCGTAGACTACAATTCCCTCATGTTTCAACTAAATCTCTCCTGTCAGGGTTGAATATGTCAGAGACCCACAACTTGTTGGAGTTGCTTTATCACTGCAAATCTAGCTCTCTAACAGGCCAGCATGTCTATGTTTCAAGCATTTTATCACAATGCATGAAGCTCTACACCTACCAGAGTGACCTTTTGGGGTTAGAGATATGCTAAACTATTACATATTCCAGCTCTTATATGCAGGGACCTACATTCTAGTTCATAAAATGAAGCAATCGTATTACTCACCGGTCACAGTGAGGCACGTCTGGCCCTGTTTTGAACCAGAAGGATGCATGTCGAAGATGCAGGTGTAGCAGCCTTCGTCACGAAAGCCCACCCTTCGGATGATGATAGCCGAGGTGTCTTTCGGAGAGACGGCCAGCTCCACATACTGCTGTCCACTCACACTGTCTTTGTCACCAGGCTGGTAGCTCAGAAGGGTCTGGTTCTGGCCATCCAGCCAACGCACCTGCCTTAGAGTCTCTCCTCGGTCCCTCACAACGCTGCAAGTGAGAGTGAAGGGCTTCTCCACTGGAGCTTCCAGACGCTCAGGTGCTGTTACCCGGCCTGGAACATCATGTTATGTAACATTTAAAACATTATAACTCTGTGTGACTTGTTGATTTGAGATTTCCATGTTTTATAGCATTAACATTTAGCACTCACCCTGTAATCTTCCCACCATCAGTAAGTACAAACACACCTGCAGACCCTTCCTACAGGAGGCCTGGATCATCATCTTCTTCATCGTTCATTTATTGGGAGGAAGAAGAGTGGAACTGAGATATGGAGAAATAAAACCAGCCCGATATGAAGTCAACTTCTCCTTTAATTTACACATCTGGTGATCCAACAGTAATACAGACTGACTTTTACGTTTTTTCCAACTCTGACGAGCCAATTCAGCTCATGTGTTCAAGATACATTGAATCGTCTAAAAAACTAATCAATTTGTTGCAATAAAACAAAAATCCTCGAGTGTAATAGAAGGATTTTTCTTTACAGAAAAAAAAGTTAGCAATACTGTGTGAACGTTTTCAAACTTTTCAAAGGGGAACGTATTTTTTTCTGCCACATTACCAACTGGCATCTAAGTAAAAAACGCAACGATTTCATTAACCAGTACATTTACACATAAAGGTGGCCCATAGGCTACAGCATTTATTTAGAAATTCTACATTTGTATTTCATACAATCATGCAAAGTACGTAAACAGCATATTTTGCATATCATTTCTACAGGAGACAGATATACTCACCTTCAGGCTACTTGTCCTAATGCAGAAGGTAAAAGCCAACAGTCGAAACCCTCTGCAACATCTCGCCCGTCCTTATGACCCAGCAGTCTTTTCAAACATCACTCCAGACCGAGAGAGAATCTATTTTTACTCCTCCGTGTGTTTCCTATTCTGTGCACCAGCAGCACAATGAAGACCAGCCGGCGGCAGCTCCAAACTTTAGTTTAGCACGGAGCGAGGGGGGAGAGGGAGTCTCAGAGCAGAGGAGAAACACACAGTGACTGATATAAAACGTCAGTCAGTGTGTCAGTTACAGAAGAGAAGCAGCATCACACTACTTCAGAGTCATGCATTTACCCAATTTACATTTCAAAATGTTGTCTTTAAATGAAAAAACTGTCAAATTGTATTACAGTGTTAAAAGGTTATAGCATGCATTATAGAGCTTGCTGCAAACATTGTTGGAACATGTTTGCCTATTCCACCAATTGTTTACTTTACAGTGTGCCTTTTACAATAAAAGTATTGTTCATTCACAAGTATACAATGTATTATTGTATTAATATACACAATAGTTTGAGCACATTTCTGTGTTTCTGTGCAGATACAGATTTAGTAGTGCTTTTTTCAGTAGGCCTACCTATAGTAGACAGAAGTTATGAATGCCTTTCCCAATTATGTCTTCAGATAAAAACATGAACGCGATTTCTCACATAGGCCTACTGAGTCTGATGATCATGTTCTGCTGAGAGTCTGCAGAGCCAGATTCACCGTGCTGCGTTCAGGTGCTGCTTTCTGAGAGTCTGCCAGAGCCAAATTAACTGTGCTGCGTTCAGGTGCTGCTTTCTCATACCTCATGAAAGTCTGCAGAGCTAGATTCCCTGTGCTGCGTCCAGGTGCTGCAGGTTTCATCACGCCTCAGCTCAGACATTTGGCCCTGAAATCCCCCACCTGAGACCGAGTGAAGCCACAAATGAATATAAAGCCTGTTAACCCGAACATCTGTAGACCTTTAGACCTATAGAAAATATACCTGTAGACAAAAATACATGCAGTCCTACAGACTTGAAGACATGCAAACCTGCAGATAATTATTAATATTATTATTATGTAGTAGTAGACAAAGTGGTGGTGAAATGTAGCAGTTTGCTGTTTTGTCGCCTTCTGCAGGTATGTATGGAAATTACAAACAAAAAAATCGTAGTTTATGATTAACTCAAATCTAAATAAATTCAGAAATCGTTTAAGTATGTCATCATAAAATGTATACAACAAAAATACAACCGAGCATTTTAGTTTTCTTTTTTAAAGTATGAAGCGTCACAGTTTTTCGACGGAAGTGGATTTGTCGGACTCATTTAGATGACGTACTGACATGGGCTACCGTTGTAATTTGACAGCTGAACAACAATGCTGCTAAAATGAGCTCATTGCCAACATTACCAACATTTCAAACATCTAAGGACCGATTGGTGTCTCACTTCAGTATGAATTGAATCTGTCCTCGACCCTTCTTTAGGTATACGGTCGTTTTTATTGCGGATTAAAGGCTGTTTTACAGACGACATCATCATGTCGTTTCTGGTGGACTCAGTCATCATGTTCACCTCACAGGTAATCAAGAGTATGTCAAGTCAACACATTGTTTATTGTATTTATTTTGCTGAACAAGAATATACTTTCGCATATTTTTAGCTAACGTTATATTAGATGTTTTTCTAAGCTTTGTGACTATCTTGAACTGCAGGCTTCTTGTTCTTGTGGAGCCCTGTCGAAGTTTGAATATCTTTCAGCTAAATAAAAAAACGCGGTGAAGTTAGTTTTAGGTTTATCTACCTAAAGGGTTTCACATAATGACCATCAATACACGTCACAAAATTACTGTTACTTTCACTTTCTCCGTGCTATCTAGCTCTTATTAGAAAAATACATTTAAAAGGATAGTTATATATTTGTGTTAGCTTCCATTTCATGGACTATACTATACTGGACATATAAGACAATATATTTATTGGATTTGAGTTCTTATTTTTTTTATTATTATTTTTCTTCAAAAATCTATTAATCATTTATAAAAAAAATCTGCTTCTGATTCAAGTGTTCCAATAAGTCATGAAAGTGAGCCAGTATGCGCAATACATGACTGAATTCAGCTATATTATTATTTAACCCTGAGCTTTTCCTACTGTGACATTTCAACTTGTCCTTGTGGGAAAAAAAATGTATCATAAACTCTGTAAGTCTGATGGTAACTCATAAACTTAATAACATAACATAATCTTCCACCTCCCTCTTTCCTCCAACTAATTCCCGTTGATGCCCACACAGGTGCTGTTCTTTGGATTTGGCTGGTTATTCTTTATGCGGCAGCTGTTTAAAGATTATGAGGTAAAGTAGTAATCCTGGATGTGTGTTGGCATAATAAGTATTCCATTGAGAGAAACACTCAAATGCATTTTCATTGTCTCATCACAGATAAAGTTGTAGGCCTAGAAGTCCTGACAGTTTTTGTGTTTGTTTGCAGATACGACAGTATGTTGTCCAGGTGGTTTTCTCCATCACTTTTGCCTTTTCATGTACCATGTTTGAGCTTATCATCTTTGAGATCCTGGGTGCCATGAGTAGCACGTAAGTACATTTTCTGTGTACTGTAAATGTGTTTATTTTGTATGTAAAAATATTTTTTTTTAGAATATAACCTTCATGTGTTTCCCACAGCTCTAGATATTTTCACTGGAAGCTCAACCTGTATGTGATACTGCTGGTCCTTATCTTTGTGGTGCCTTTCTACATTGGTTACTTTGTTGTTAGCAACATACGTCTGTGTAAGTAAAGCTGATTAGCTGTGTATTGAGACAAAAAAACTGTAACTAACAATAAAATGAACAACTATATTTGCCAGATTTTGTTTTCTCGCACATTATGTCACAGAAAGCTATTTTCTTTATTTCTATTATAGTGCAGAGACAGAAGCTTCTGTTCGCTTGTATGGTCTGGTTCACCTTCATGTATTTCTTCTGGAAATTGGGAGACCCATTCCCAATCCTTAGTCCCAAACATGGTGAGTGTGTATCCTTCTCCTCTGGGTACCTTTATGCCTCATTTATGCTCTTTTTCGTATTTTGATAGGCCTATGTGTTGAAAAGCAAGTGACCCATGGTTTCACTCTGTTGTGTTTATTCTGTTCAGGCATCCTGTCCATTGAGCAGCTGATCAGCCGTGTTGGTGTGATCGGAGTCACCCTCATGGCTCTGTTGTCTGGCTTTGGTGCAGTCAACTGTCCGTACACATACATGTCCTATTTCCTCAGGTAATCTCAACTGTGGGATTTCTCTGACTTTATCTTTAGCAGCTGTAACTCACAGCCTGTTAATTGAAGTCATCTAATGCATCAGAATATTTTGTATACAATATATTCCTGTTATCAAGACACATGCTGTCTTTTATTTGATGCTTCCTGCTTTGTTACTTTCACAGAAATGTAACAGACAGTGACATACTTGCTCTGGAAAGAAGGCTGCTACAGACTATGGACATGATTATAAGCAAGAAGAAAAGGTAAGTACATTTTTTTGGATGTATTATTATTATTTTTTAAATTAAAATAATGATTCTGCCACTGGTATTTGTTCTGTGTAGAATTGCCATGACACGGAGGCAGATGTACCAGCGGGGGGAAGACCAGAACAAACAGACTGGATTCTGGGGCATGATCAAGAGTGTAACCTCCACACCACCAGGCAGCGAAAGTATCCTTCACACTTATATTCAGTATAACCATAGAGTATACATTGTAAGCTTTTGTATGTGCTTATTGTCGGCAATGTTTAGTAGATGTCAGCCTTGACTTCCTCTCTCCAGATCTTTCTCTGATCCAGCAGGAGGTTGATGCTCTAGAGGAGCTGAGTCGGCAACTCTTTCTGGAGACTGTGGACCTTCAATCCACCAAAGTAAGAAATGTACCTTGAAGAAAGTTTTGTTCTAAGGCCGCAGTAGGCATTTATTTAAAGTGAAAAAGCTAAAAAAAAAAGAAGCAAGATAAGAGAAGTTACTGTTTGCTTACATGTTTACCATTATCAACTAACAGGTGATGATTTGCCAGTGTTCTGTCCACAGATTCAAATACTCAAATGGTGTATTGTCATATCTACTACGGTCGCCGTTCAAAATGGCAGCACACTGCTCCTAACACTAGGATGGGTCAAATGCAGAGAAACAATTTCCCCACGGGGATTAATAAAGTATATCAAATATCGTGTAGTTATGTAATGAATTATAAACTTTGGTCGCAGGTTCCTCAACAACGCAATTACAGGACATAAAAAACAACAATAAAAATAGTGCAAGCTCAGGAGTTAAGCAGCTTGTTTTTGATACCCATAATTGCCAATAAACTAAACGTATTACAAGTTGAGCCTACTTTAATTGTTGTATAACATACATATTAAGTAGCTGTTATTATTTTATAACTCCTTCATAAGGCTCAATTAAAGTATAATACGTGTTGCCGTTTATCGACAAGCAAGACTCATCTCCATAACAATCTCTCTCCATGTTTTCAGTGTAGAGGTTTCCCAGCTGTAGACCTTGTCCAGGTGTGGCTGTGTGTTTGTGTTTCCATTACATTACATTACATTGCATTTAGCTGACGCTTTTATCCAAAGCGACTCACAATAAGTACATTCGACCAGGAAGACACAACCTTGAAGAAAACAGAATCATATAAGTACATCAAGTTTCATAGAGCCAAACATTTCAAGTGCTACTCAACTGGCTGTAGATAAGCCAGTCCTTTATTAGTATATAAGTGCTTTGTTAGCAGTTCTTTGTTAGTAATTCTATCGCTCTAAGTGGAGTCGAAAGAGATGAGTATTCAGTCTGCGCCAGAAGATGTGTAAGCTATCTGCTGTCCTGATTTCAATGGGGAGCTCATTCCACCATTTTGGAGCCAGGATAGCAAACCCACGTGTTTTTGCTGATGGGAACTTGGGTCCCCCTCGCAGCGAGGGTGCAGCGAGTCGTTTGGCTGATGCAGAGCGTAGTGCACGCGCTGGGGTGTACGGTTTAACCATGTCCTGGATGTAGGAAGGGCCAGATCCATTCGCAGCATGGTAAGCAAGTACCAGTGTCTTGAAGTGGATTCTAGCAATTACTGGAAGCCAGTGAAGGGAGCGGAGGAGCGGAGTGGTGTGGGAAAATGTTGGAAGGTTGAAGACCAGACGAGCCGCTGCATTCTGGATGAGCTGCAGAGGTCCGATGGCACATGCAGGTAGACCAGCCAGGAGGGAGTTGCAGTAGTCTAGGCGTGAGATGACGAGAGCCTGGACCAGAACCTGCGTTGCTTTCTGGGTCAGCTGAGGACATATCCTCCTGATGTTGTAAAGCGTGTATCTGCAGCAACGGGTTGTAGCAGCGATGTTTGCAGTGAAGGACAGGTTGATATCTAGGGTCACACCCAGATTCCTTGCAGTCTGAGTCGGGGAAACAACAGAGGTGCCGATGTTGATTGTTAGGTCAAGAGTGGGACAATCTTTTCCCGGAAGGAAAAGCAGTTCAGTCTTGTCAAGGTTGAGCTTGAGGTGATGAGCAGACATCCACTGAGAGATGTCAGCTAGACAAGCAGAGATGCGTGCGACGACCTGGGTCTCTGAGCGGGGAAAGGACAGAATTAATTGGGTGTCATCAGCGTAGCAGTGGTAAGAAAAACCATGCGGGCTAATGACTGATCCAAGCGAGTTTGTGTACAGGGAAAAGAGGAGGGGACCAAGAACAGAGCCCTGAGGGACCCCTGTAGTTAATTGGCAAGGGTCGGACTCGGACCCTCTCCAAGTTACCCTGTAGGTACGGTCTTTGAGGTATGAGGTGAGGAGGGAAAGTGCAGAGCCTGAAACTCCAAGTTTTTGGAGAGTGCGAAGGAGGATCTGATGATTCACCGTGTCGAATGC